TGAAATAAACACGTAAATGAACAGGAAAAAAAAAAAAAAAAAAAAAGAATACAAGTATAAAAACTTAATCACAGAGCATCATCAACCCTCAGCCTTACTTGTAGGCCACCATTCAGGCACTTAATGAAACTTTTAATTGAAACTGCTCTACAGCCAATATGCCCCTGAGGATTAGAGATGAATCACTCAACATGACCTCACAAATTGTGAGCGCTCTAGGTATGATTTCTATATAAAAATAATTTTGAAACCTAGCCCCTGAGGATTTTCTGCAGAGAGAGCTCATATAACCAAGTTGCAAAAGTAGAGAAAACTTAGAGGAAATTTTGAAGAGAGGAGCATTCCTTCTCTGTTGGCAAGTTGTATTTGCTAAAAACTCACTCTTTTTTATATAATTCGCCCAGTGAGCATTAAAAAACCCCAAGAGGGTTTTTTTTTTCCCCTCCCTCAGATTCATGAAAAGCCCTGTGTTGTAATAGTGCAGTTACAGAGCCATTCTCAAAGGAGGCTCGGTCTCCGAACATACGTGGTTGACATTTCAGAGCTGAAACGCTGCGGTGGTGCTGAATTGCCGATAGGAAAGGAGAACAAATCACACATCTTTTTCTGCTGCACCCACCACAACTTTACTGGCGGCATTCAGACTGCACATGGGAGTGAGAACTGAGTTCAGGTAGGATCAAGCCTCCCATTTCAGGGAGCCGCTTCTTTAAAACCAGTCACTAGCAAGAGTCTAAGCTCTGACAGCCCTTTTAAATCCCCTCACTCTAGCAGCTCGTTTCCTAGAAAGTACCTCCAGACGATGTAGATTCCTACCTACCTACCTTCTAGACTAAGATTGGGGGTGTGAGAGGTTTCACAGTGAATCAGAATAATACACTAGATATGTATGTTGCAAGCTGGTTTGTTTTCCTCCTTAAGAGTTTGTTATTTCACTTCCCCTACTTGTCGCTACACAATTAGGCTCCTTTGAAGGCACTTGAGGTTGCATTTTCACCTGTGGTGACTGCGTGACTGCAAATTCCCAGCATATTCCTGCTATCCACAAAAACAAGTGGGTGATGATGGCAGGCCATCCTCAAGTTGGGGAGAAAGAAGCCTTCCCCAAACTCCTTAGGGGCCAAAAGTATTGTCCTGTGAGGAGACAGACAGGAGGCAGCAAAGGAGGAAAGCTGGAAAACTGCGAAGGAGGAAAGCTGGAAAACCCCGAGAGGTTGTGGGGAAAGGGTTTATTTCCTGCAACACCTGTGCCTAGGGCTTGCTCTGGGGGCTGGCGTGAAGCAGCCTCTGGTTCCCGCGGGGATTTGGGGGAGAGAGATGCCACTGGGGTGTGGGGCAGCCTACCGAGAAGGAGAGCATGGTTCGCAAGCCGGGAAGGGCAAGGCGGGGCCTTGCGAACACGGTCTGTGGCAGACCGCGAGGGGTTCGCTGAGGTGGCTCCTCTGACTGGGTTAGGCGGGGGGTGTGTGTGTGTGTGTATGTGTGTGTGTGTATGTGTGTGTGTGTATGTGTGTGTGTGTATGTGTGTGTGTGTATGTGTGCGCTTCCTAGTACCCTGGACAGCTACCGGGACGGGA